TTGTCAGTCTCTCCACCTCTTCTTTGGGCGGATGAGTTTGGCTCAGTGAGATGAGTAGCTGCCATGAGACCAGAAGGGCCAGGTTCAAAACCTGCTCAGGGCAACGTTTTTTTCAACTTTCAACTTTTTCCGCTTTTTTCAGCAGACATCTTCAGCGTTAAGGCATCCACACAGCATTTTCGCAGGAAATGCAAATTTTTCTAGTTGGATTTTGAAATTACCAAATATTGGTATCAGACTTAACAATCCTATATTGGTCAGACTCTAATATACGCATGTACCAATGGAAGGAAGCGTAATCTTTAAAGCAGCTCACGCACCAATCTCCAGTCACTTCCAAGCGCTGAGGCGCACCGTCTTTGGCAAGCCAAAATAATTTATCGGAATTATTACGCCTGGATTTTTCCCACTTGAACATCGTCATCGTACAGCCTTTGGGATTTCCTTTCATTATCTGAGCTCTAATGATGAGAAACTACATTTCTGGGTGGCTTCTGCTCTGACATCTTTGAAGCACCCTGATTGCATGAATCATAAGGTAACAGGCTCTGTGTTTTGTGTAGAATTTCTTCCTGATGATTGCATTCAGTCGACGTCTCATCACGTCGAGTAATCAGCCTATTCCAGGTGTCTTGTCAGCTTAATGTCCTGATGATAATCAGCCATAGCTTTTATGACCACGGCGATAAAGATACGCCAGGGCTCTCTTCCTCGCAGGCGGTTAGTGATAATTAGCGCTCCTTGAATTGAACGCCCCCCTGCTGTCGGTTCACGAGGCGCAGAGGCTGCAGCAGTGCCGTCGGGGCCACAGGAGGCTGTGGCTGTCACTCACATGCCCGGATGGGGGGCAAGATGGTTGTGATGGCACAGATGAATGGAAGTGGGCTGGGTGCGACAGGAAGTTAGAGAAGGAGCTGGCGAGAACAACTGTAGTCCTCGTTTCAATTTCACTTCTTTAAAAACAGTGACAGCGTACAGATTGAGCTGACAGCAGCACCAATGAATCACAGACACATTCTGTCAAATAAAATAGCATGCAGTTACAAGAGCGCAAGTCATTAAAGGACCTGTGGTTATTATATATAAATATATTTACAAATATCAAATGACTACTAATTAGAAAATGTTTAAAAATACATTTTATAAATTTGAAGGCTAAAAAATATATATCCAGTTAAATTATTAAGATTGGTTGCTTATGCTCGGCTCACTCACTGCTTTGACTTAACAAAGTGAGTAAACATATTTTTCAGTGGTGACAAACATGCTCTGCATTTTGCAGCTTGTCATAAACAGCAAAAGGAAAACCTTTTTTGCAGATTTGACTGCTACTCTCACTGAATTCGGATCTTTAACAATGTAGGAAAAATGATTTTTGGATACTGCAGCTTTCCTTCTCTCATGTATTTTCTGCATATCTTCAGTGCATTATAACAGCGGTCCCCAGCCTTTTTTGCGCCACGGACCGATTTAATGTCAGACAATATTTTCACGGACCGGACTTGAATGTGTCGCGGATAAATACAACAAAATAAAACGATACGACCGAGACTAAAACTGGTATTTGGTAGTTTGTGAATATAGTGATAAACGCAAATTCACAATGTAATTGTATAACTTTATTAGCAGCATCCTCCTGAAATGCGCCAACAACATCTCTGCCCTTTAACGCTCTCTGGTTGCTGTCGTAACGCAGAAATATTTCTTTCAATTACAACACGGGAAAAGACCCGGGGAAACCCCTAAAACCCCGGGGGGTTGGGGACCACTGCATTATAATGTGACCAAATGTTGATCAGTTATTTAATATTTGGGATTGATTTGATATTACTGTAATAATGTCTGCATTTGGCTCTAAATATGAATATCAGTAATGGTGGTGGCACGGTGGTTAGCACTGTCACCTCACAGCAAGAAGGTCTTAGTTTCAAATCCACCAGCAAGCTGAGTCTTTCTAGAATAATAGAAAAGCCCTTTATTGTAATTCTACAATAGATTGGCAGCCTGTTCAGGCTGTGCTCTGTACATACTAATGTATAAAAACATTGCCGTTGCTCTATGTGAGTTGGAATAAGCTGCAGTCCAACAGTGACCCTGAACTCAATAAATGGAAGAAAATGAATGAATTTATGGACAATAATGGTGCAAATGTATGGAGTCATTGGTGCTTGCCTCTCAAAAGTACAACAATTTTTAAATTAAATCACAGTTACTGCAATACAGTGACTTCACTTAAGAACTCTTGCTGAACTCATTCGATGGGAAAAGTGTAATCAGCAATGCCCCATAGATCATTTAGTATCTGAAGCTCTCTGAGAGTCTGTTCTATTATTTGTTTACAGTTGGCTATAAATGAAAATGCATTTCCTTGTTTACTATCTGCCTTTCAAAAAAGCCCACGAACGGGCAAAATTTGCTCTTAGACATTATCTC